GCTTTTGGGGTTATAGTGTTTCCTGTTGCTTTATGCACCATTAAATCAGCTTAAGTGAACTCAGGTTCTCCAGATTAGTGATGGATTGCAATAAGGAGGAGGCCATTAGGGCCAAGTCGATTGCTGAGAAGAAGATGCAGAGCAAGGATTTCGTGGGGGCTCGTAAGATTGCTATAAAGGCGCAACAACTCTATTCTGATCTGGAGAATATATCTCAGATGCTTATGGTTTGTGATGTGCATTGCTCTGCTGAGAAATTATTTGGGACTGAGATGGACTGGTATGGCATCCTTCAGATTGATCAAACAGCGGATGAGATAACAATTAAGAAGCAGTACAGGAAGTTTGCTCTCCAACTTCATCCTGATAAAAATAAGTTTTCCGGTGCAGAAGCTGCTTTTAAGCTGATAGGTGAAGCTCAAAGAGTACTTTTGGACCGTGACAAACGGAGCATGCATGACCTGAAACGCAAGACTTTTGTGAGTAAAACAGGTGTACCACATCAGCCCCCGCAGAGGGCGAGTTGGAACTCAAATCCTGGAGTTCAAAACAACTCCAGAGGCAACTTTTCAGGCGTTAATCTCCAGAGCCAACAGCAACAGCAGCCTTTTCCACCAGGGTATTCAGATGCCCGATCCACTTTTTGGACTGCCTGCCCATTTTGTTCAGTTAAGTACCAGTATTATAGAGAAGTTCTTCTTAGATCTCTTCGTTGTCAAGGCTGCGGTAAGCCCTTCATTGCATATGACACAAATGTGCCAGGTGGAGCACCACCACCACCACCACCAACTAACTTAAGTCAGCAGGCATTCCCCCCCAAAAAAGTGAATGTTAACATGTCTGAAGTGACATTTCAGAGGAATGTTGGAGCTGAGAACTCCAAAGCGAAACCTTTCCAAAAGACAGAGAAAAAGGCAAGTAGCTCTTCAGGTGTCCGCCCCGAAAAGGTAAAGCGTAAGAGAGAAAGGAAACGTGTAGTAGAATCCAGTGAAAGCAGTGTCTCTGAAAGCAGCAGTGATTCTGAAGAAGATATGGTCATCAATGATGCTGTTCTTCAGGCTGGTTTGAAATCTGGAATTTATGGAGAGCAGCAACCACGGAGGTCTTCACGGCATAAGCAGAACGTTTCTTATAAGGAACATCTAAGTGATGGTGAAGACACTCCTTTATCAAAAAGGGAGAAGAGGAGTGGTTCATCCTGTGCCACTGAAGAGGAAGTTGAAGACGCATTAAAAGAGGAGGAATCTAACATGAATAATAAATCTGATCGTGCTGCTGACGCTACAGGAGATGAGGAAAAGGTGAAACAGAAAGAAAGTGCTTATTTTGAAGAGTGTTTGCCAAAGGGAGTTGGTGAAAAGAAGTTTGGGGCTAAAGAAAGGGTGAAAGTATTCGATTCGAAGAAAAGAAGTCTTGAGAATTCTCCATTAGATAAAAGCTCCAATGAGAAACAAGAACCAGACCCCTTGTATTCTTTCCCTGATAGTGATTTCAACGACTTTGAGAGGTACCGGAAAGAAGAACTCTTTGAAGCTGGGCAGGTGTGGGCTATTTATGATACTCGAAATGGGATGCCAAGATTCTATGCTAGAATCAAGAAAGTTCACTCACCTGAGTTCAAGTTGCAGATAACCTGGCTAGAGCCGGACCCTGATGATGATAATGAAAAGAAATGGGCCAAAGCTGACTTGCCATTTTCTTGTGGTAAATTGAGACAAGGTCACTCTGAAACCACGAAAGATCTTCCCATGTTCTCTCATTTGATGATTTGGGGGAAGATTAGAAGTGCTTACATGATATATCCAAGAAGGGGAGAGACTTGGGCCATTTTCAAGAACTGGGATATAAAGTGGTTCTCTGATCCGGACTCCAATCAGAAGCACTTTGAATATGAATTTGTTGATATTTTGTCAGACTATTCTAAGGATGTTGGAATATATGTTGCACTCTTGGAGAAGGTGAAAAGCTTTGTGAGTGTTTTTCGAAGGGTTAAGGATGGGAAAGGCACATTTCAAGTTCCATCCGGAGAATTATTGAGGTTTTCCCACAGAGTTCCATCTTATACATTGACTGGTGACGAAGGAGTAGGAGTTCCATTAGGATCTGTTGAGCTTGATCCCGCCGCTTTGCCTTTTAATATTGAAGAAGTTCCTGTTTCTAGAGAACGGAAAACGGAGGCTAGTACTCGTACTAATGGTTTTTCTGCATCTCCGGATACAAGGAATGAAGATGGTAATGTTCCCAAAGGATCATCCCCAGAAGGTATCGATATTCCGGAAGCTGAGTTCTACAACTTTGATGCTGATAAATCTCTGGAAAAGTTTGAGATTGGTCAGATCTGGGCATTGTATAGTGATGAGGATGGCTTGCCAAAATACTATGGCCAGATAAAGAGCATTGATAGTCACCGATCCAAATTGCATATTGCATGGCTTGCCAACTTACTACCAGACAATGTGATCCGATGGCATGATGAGGAGATGCCCGTCAGCTGCGGGAGATTTAGGGTTAGAAGGGGTCCACTCCAGGACTATGATTCTACTCTGTCCTTTTCACACCGGTTAAATGCAGTTTCTATTGGTAAGAATGATTTTGAAATATATCCACACAGAGGTGAGGTTTGGGCTTTATATAAGAACTGGACAGCTCATTTCTCGTGTTCCGACTTGGATACCTGCGAGTATGACATTGTGGTGGTGCAGACTGAAAATGATTTGCAAAGAGAGGTCTTGATTTTAGAGCGTGTGGATGGTTTCAACTCGGTTTTCAAGACTCGGGCGAAGGGAGGATCAGCTGAAACCATGACCGTCCGTGGGGTTGAGCTACTGAGGTTTTCTCACATGATTCCTTCTTTCCAGCTGACGGACGAAAAAGGCGGCAGCCTCAGAGGATGCTGGGAACTTGACCCGGCTGCTTTGCCGCTTCGTTTCTTCAGTCAGACTTGAGTTGGTAATCAGACTAGCCTTTTGCTTCATAGGCCTTTTCCCAGAATGCCGGTGTGGGAAATGAAGCCGTCTATTGATTGGAATGACGAGGCAGGCACATTTTGCAGCCGGCTTTTGGTCCTTGGTGAAGAAGGAGGTGGCTCTGCTGGTTTTGTGTTGCATATTCTGAATTTCTTGTTTATATACCCTTGAATTTTCACTGAACCCTGGGCTACCTATGCTGAAATATTGGTCGAGAGTGAAAGAAACTGAAATTTTTTTTCTTGTAACTGGAACCTCGTATTTGAATTCTCTGATGAACAAGAACAACCTCGTCTTCCTAGATAAATGCTTCTGTTAGCTTTTTACTTTGGTGTTAAAAGTATTAGCTTTTCTACGGGTGGCTCTTTGTCACAATGGTTGGGAGGAGTGTTGCCCTTGCATAATGACGTGAGTTCAAACTCTGTCGACTCCTAATCTATTATATAATCTTCAAATCTATCGTTTGTCAAAAAAAAAAAAAAATACACAAAGTATTAGCTTTTCCTTTTCCGTACCAGGCTATGTTTTGTAGCCGTTCTTCCAACAAGTTTGTTTGGGATAGCCTTAGTACTGGTTTGGTACTGAGATGATTTTTAAAAAAATGGGTATAAAAAAAAGTTGGGAGAGTTTTTAGTATTTGGTAAACACCCCAAAATAGATTTATTTCAAAGTTTTAGATGAAAAAAAGCTATAAACCGAAAGCTGCAAAAAGCAGCTTATTGTGAAAAACACAAAGCTACATTAATTTTATTAATGAATTTTTCAATTTGCCAACATTGCCCTCCTTTCTCCTGCCTTCCTCACACTTTTAGACTCTCTCGCACACCTCTCACAAAACACTTTCAGACTCTCTCACACGCCCTCTTCCTCTGTTGCCTGCTGCTGCACCTCTTCCTCCTCCTTTTCCTCTCTCTCCGTCAGTCTCAACGCCAGAAACACCGTTGTCGCCTTCCCTCCTTCCTTTGGTAAGCTTCTCTTGTCTAAAATTTCGTTATTTATTTGTTTGGATTTTTAATTTGGGGATGGGGAGAGTGAGTGAAAGAGGGGTGGGAAGAGTGAAGGGATGAGTGTATGGGTGTCAGGAAAAAAAAATTGGAGATGGAGGAAACAATTGGAGAAAAAATTAGGGTTTGTGGAGGAAACAAGAAAAATTGAGAGAGAAGAAAGAAAAATTGATTACTTCTCTATTTTTTTCTTTGACTGAATCTTGATGCATGTTAAGCGTGATAAGTGATAATGCATGTTTGTTCCCTGATTGCTTCATAGATTTTTGCAAAGTCATTGGACAGTGAAGTTTTGGAGTGTGCTTATGTTTGTTGTACTTGGGATTATATAGTCCCACAGTAGTATTGTGTATAAACCGGTTGAAACTGGTTATGATCAAAATATGTTCTGCATGCAAGTTTAGGCGTCATATTAGTTTTCGGTTGCATGCATGCAAGTTTATCTTTTTACTAAGACTTGTCAAATTACGCAAGACTTTTTTACTTCTTTTGTTGTTACGCTGGAGGAATCAAGCTCTGAACGACTTATTTTAATTCTAACTTATTTCCCTACTATCTTCTTGTGGCGTCGCCACTTGTGTTGGACTTGAAGTTTTGAACTCCAAAAACTTAGGCTTTTACTTCTTCGAGGTTTTGAATATGAATCATTAACGATGAAAAGAAGTGATTGTTACCAATTTCTTGGTTGATTTCTAGAACCAACAACTTCCAAATAATCCCACACATCGGATCAATCTTCTTCCCCTATTTAAAGATTAAAATAAAATAAAAGGAGAAACAAAAATAAAAAGGGGCCGTTCCGAGAATCGAACTCGGGACCTCTTGCACCCAAAGCAAGAATCATACCACTAGACCAAACGGCCGGTCATGGTATTCCATTATCATTTAGCATACTCTACATTAGGAATTTAAGGTGATGATTTTCAGCCGTTGGATTTTGATTTGATCGTTTCCTGGTAAGGGGTGAAAGTTTCCGTGGTATTTTTATTTACGGTCGGAAAAGTAAAAGAGAAGAGAGAAACGTAGATGAAGGACAAGTTGCCGATTATAGCAGACACTCACACGGTGTTCCACTCCTTCATTTTCCCTCCAAAATTTCCCACGGCCCCCATCACTCCCCCCACTATTTTCCCTCCACCTCCAAAAACCCTAATCTTTCACTCTCTCGCTCCCTCTCTTTCCCCAATTGATCGTCTTTCGCTTCTCACTTCCGCATACTTCCTACCCCACTTTCGATCGTTGCCATCAATTTTTGTTTTTCTTTTTTCGTATTTTTTCCTTCTGAAATTTCGATGCTTTTTTTCTAGGGTTCCGGTGGATTCTGATCTGGTATCCGATAAGAGTTGAAATGGGTTCCCTCTGGGACGGCCACGACGAAATCAAGCCGATGGAGAAAAACTCACTCGCCGACTGCGCCGATACCGAGCCCATTGATACTCAGATTTCAAGCCCTTCATTGTCCGGTAACTATTTTTTAGTTAAAGTTTTGTCCTTTATGGTAATTTTAATGTGAATATATAGACAAGGAGTCAAATTTGTTAAATTCATGTTCGCATGGTAAAATTTGCGATTCAACAATTTCTGTTGAGGTTTTTCTCTGAATTTTTTCATGGAAAAGTAAGATTTTTACATGTTTGCGCATATGTTCTCTTGAAATTGTGCATATCTATGTGAGAATTTTTATTTGGCTGTGTTTTAGTATGATTTTCGCGCATTTTGGGATATGAATGCTGTTGTCTTTTGGTTTAGGATTACAATTGCTATTGAGATTTCTTTTCTTCATTTTGTTTTATTGAAAATTAGATGAGAAGGGCATATCGATGGATGCGGATGAGTTAGTGCGAGACATTGTGCCGTCTGATGATACTGTTCCAGTTGAAGATGCATTTGAAACCCAAATGGTAGATTTTGGTGATGAAACCCAATTAATGGATTTCGCAACCGAAACCCAAGTAATGGATTTTGGTGGCGAAACCGAAGTATTGGATTTTGGTGGCGAAACCCAAGTATTGGATTTTGGTGGCGAAACCCAAGTATTGGATTTGGGCGGGGAAACACAAGCGATGGATTTCGGTGGTGAAACACAAGCAGTGGATTTCAGTGGTGAAACACAAGTGTTGGATGATATCAACTGCTTTGCGAACATGGAGGATACTCAGTTATTAGAGTTTGATGATGTAGTTGTCAGTGACAGTGAAGAGTCGGATGCAACTGAAGTTTTGGATGATAGTAAGGATCTAACTGACAATGAATCGGTACAGAGAGGTTCTGGTCAATTAATGAATGAGGAGAATATTTGCCGCACTCCTTGTGAAAATAGTGAAAATGGGTTAACGGAGCAAGCCAATCATTTGATCGACAAGCAACACAATGCAGGTTTGACCTCTTTAATCTAGACAAGAATGCTAGTCCTTACCTTATTTTTTTTTTTGGTAAAGAGACAATTTTGTTAGGGAAAAAGAAGTAAATAGAGAGGGTGGTCTAGCAGACCAGCCCAAACACCGCTACCACAACAAGGACCACAAAACCAAGCAAACAAAAACAAGCAACAGCCTAAAACAAAAACACAACCAGACTAACAAATAGCTGATTTCCAATCTAAATAAAGGAAAGCGATATTCCAGTGAACTCATTAGAAACCGAAGCCCGTAATCTTTAGCTTCATTTGCGGTCTAAAGCTTGAATATGCATAGCTGCATAATTCTTTGCTTTATCTACTATTTCAATGATGAGCTTCTGGCAGAGTGAATTACATAATGGGCTCATGGATTGCAAATTAGAACATTTTCCTACTTATTGAATGAAATATCATTCCTTGGTTTTGGAATGTTTTATTTAATCTTGAATTCACATGAAGTTTCTTTTAATAAATTGTGCATGTAAATTTATGTGCTAATTCATAAAAGTAAGTTGGGGTTTTATCTTTTAGGGCTCCATGTTTCTGCTGCAACACCTGTGGATGACGGCTCCCCGGAACTGGGACCAGGTATGAGCTATCCTGCTTCTTCATAGTTAGACAGTGCATTTTTTTAATAAAAAATTTGGTAAAATTGTATGGAATATGGATGCTAGGATCTTGTGTATTAACTCCTTCAAATTGCATGGAATCCGTATCAATTATATATTTTGCTCAACTGGTTTTGGTTTATGGTGCTGCCGGTTTGTTTGAGCATACAATTGATTTCTTATTTCAAAGTGCAAATATCTATCTGGGCCTAGTTTGTATTATGATTACTTGATTTTCTACAAAAACAAAATAAATATAAAGGAAACATGGTCTGAATTTATTTTCCAGCTACTTACATCTGGAAGTCAGAGTTCATGATTGCTCAATGGAATAATATAATACACTCCTAATATGAACTATTATGTCAATCTACCCATTTTGCTCAGGTTCTGTGCATATGCAATTTACCTCAGTCCATGCAGCATCCTTACAGGCCTCCGGTCTAGCAGCTCACAGTACAGCTTTGAATGGTACCGACAGTGAGTCTCGTTCTGTTCCAAGTAATAACCAATCTTTGAATCAACTTTCCGGGAAAGATAATGCAGTATCTCTTTTAGGGGGTTCGACCATAGATGGGGAAGAAGTCAACGAGGAACATGATTCAAGGAATGAGAACAAATGGAGGACTGGTAGTTCAACAGCGAGAAAACTTTTTACTGAGTATTCAGATGCTGAAAACACGGAAATTTCTCATAACAGCGCTAGTGATGAAGAAGCTGAAGATTTGCTTCAGTTTCCTAGTAATTTGGCAGGGTTGAGCTATATTGACTCTCAAGAACCAGGTGAATTATCACAGGCTAATGCACTTGATTTTGTGGATAAATTCCTCCAAAATAATCTTGATGAGTCTAATAAAGAAGTTGGCCATGGAAAGAGTGCAAGGGACAATTCAAGATTTGTCTCAAGTGCAAAAGGGCCACAAACTTTGGCCAAGAAAGCCAATGACAAAAGCATAGATAAAGGGATTTTCGATTGGGATGATAGCCGCGAGGATGAAGAAGGAGGTGAATTTTTCCGCCGAAGAAAAGCAGACTTCTTTGATGGCAGAAGCCATGGGTGGAGATCTCTTCCCCAACCCCAGAAGTCCAAAGAAAAAAGACAGGATGCGGAGAAGGATCGCAAAAAACAATTACAAGGAAAGAACAAGAGAATAAGTGTAGTTCATTCTGATTCAAAACTATTGTTGCATAATTCAAAAGTCGACAAGAAGACAGCACATGAAGATGAAATGAAACATAAAAAGAATCTCGTCAGTGAGTTTGATGAACAGTTTAACAATGACTCCCCTAGAGAGAAGTTGGATGCTAATATTAATAAGAACGATGCACCTGAAATGATGAATGTAGGCTTTGATACTCAAATGGCAGCTGAAGCTATAGAAGCCTTGTGTTATGGCGAAGGGATTTCCAATTGTGATGCTAGTGATGACTATCAAGATGCTCAAGGAAATCAGAGTTCTCCTGAAAGTTCGATGGGAGAAAAATCAAAGAATAGAACTTGTTCAACGAAACAGTCTTCTCGAAAAAGAGGGCGTTTTACTGATGCAGGGGTTTCCCGAGAAACTCAACAAGCAAAGAAAATGAGGGTTGGTGGCAGATCAAGTAAACATTCTTCAGTTTCACCTCTGGAATATTCTAAGAATACCAGGAAGGAGTGTGAAACAAAGGTGGTGATGGCAAAATCAAAGAAGGGGAAGTCCAATGCTATAAAGCTTCTTAACATCATTGGGAACAGAAACATGGAGAAAATGCCTTCTGTTGCTATTGACCTAAGAACAGAAGGATCTATAAAAAAGCATTTACGACAGGATGTTGGTACGTTTACGCCGATTGCACGTCGAACTAGACGGTCTATGGTGGTAAATCAGTTAAAGAAAGCTGACGATGCATCCAGTGATTGTGGAGAAGAGTCAAGCTCTCAAACAGAGGATGTTGCAACTAGAGAAAAAATAATTAGTTTTACAGGTGTTCCGGTGGCTAATGCGTTGAATGCAAAATCTTCAAAATCGGGTCCCAATCGATCCGGAGAAGTTGGAAATCATAAACCAAGCCAACATCATGGTTCAGATCTCAAGTTTGAAGCTATTTGCAATGGCATCAAATTGGATGCTTTAAGCTTCCCCAAAGGAAAAAGATCTAGGAGAAAGTTATCTGATCAGGTTTATGGGCCTGATAACTTAAATGATCCACCGACCCCATCTGTTCAGCCAGACAAAGTTGGACAACGTGTCACTAGGCACACAAGACCGCAGGGTGCTGCTCAAAGCATTTTTGTTGATGTAAAGTCAACAAGAAGAACCCGATCGGCTACACGTGGTGACAAGAATTGTGCTAGAAAATTTGCACGTCGAAGTTTAAAAACTGATCCTTGGAAAGCTCCTCTTCATTGTAATTCTTCTCATAAGGATGGGATAATGATATCAGAGATTACAACTGGTGGAGAGGCAGTTGGAATTCTTGACAGGGCGAGTGATGCAAATCCGTCTTCTGCTACAAAAATGAGGGATGAATCCCCGCTAGGGAAATGCAAACCACTGGATTCAGCTTGTGCTACTCCAGTTAACAGTAAGGTGCCTGTCAATGATGCATCTCCAGTTTGTATGGGTAATGAATATTTCAAACAGTCATGCAAGAATACCCCTTCAAGGCCAAGTCTTTTGAAAGAAATCCGTGACTTAAGTGCAAATGGGCATACACCAACTTCAGCATCAAAGGATTTAAGGAAGAGGAGAGATATGACAGAAGTTCGAGTATTGTATAGCCACCACTTGGATGACTATGTAATTAAGCATCAGAAAAAGGTTATTTTGTGAGTGAGTTCAGTCTTTTTTTAAACATGCAAGTTCTAAACTAATCTTATCTGCAAATCTTTTTTTGCAGATTTTGGCCCGACTAGGAGTTTCTGTAGCATCCTCTATGACAGATGCCACACACTTCATAGCAGATCAATTTGTGCGTACGAGGAATATGTTAGAAGCTATTGCTGCTGGAAAACCAGTGGTGACGCATTTATGGCTCGATAGCTGTGGACAAGCTAGTTGTTTCATCGATGAGAAAAACTATATACTAAGGGATACCAAGAAGGAGAAGGAGTTTGGCTTTAACATGCCGACTTCGTTGGTACGTGCGTGCCAGCATCCACTTCTGGAGGTAAATATTATGTTTATGTTGGTGCGCCCAGAAAGATTAGACTTATATTGCATTCCCATTAACACATGATTTTGCAGGGTCGTAAAGTCTTCATCACCCCAACTACGAAGCCTGGTAAAGAAATAATTTCAAGTCTGGTCAAAGCAGTCCATGGCCAGGTATGGTTTTCTTTCTTTCTCTTCACACATGCATACACAGCAACACGCACGTATAAAGTTCATCCTGTTTTTATCTGAGCTTTTGATTGCCATTAATTCCAGAAATGATTTTGATTCTGTTCGAAATGCTCATTAGGCTATAGAAAGAATTGGTAGATCTGTTTTGGAGGCTGATAAAATTCCAGATGATCTGTTGGTTCTATCTTGTGAAGAAGATTATGAAATTTGTGTGCCTATACTCGAAAAAGGTTATCAGCCATGGCTTTTATTTACCAAGTATTTATAAGAAGCGGGGTGCTATTCACACACCTATTTTTACTTCTCTCACATCCTTTGTTAATTTCTGTCTGTTGATCTTCTTCAATTCATCCGATCCGATGGTAAAAAATTAGAAGGGTGTGTGAGAAGTAAAAATGGGTGTGCTAATATCACACCCCTATAAGAATACGAGGTTTTTTTTTTTTTTGACACTGCTTTATATTTTCAGGAGCTACAGTTTACAGCTCAGAGTTGCTATTGAATGGGATTGTTACTCAGAAGCTGGAGTTTGAAAGGTTAGTTTTACTTCCAGGATTTCATCTTTATTGTTCGAAAGTAATATCTATTGTTCTTGTCCTCTTTAAAATAATGGAAAAAACTAAAGATTATGTGTATCGAGGATTCGTATCTTGGTTTTCCTAACACGCTTGCACAAATGATGTGGCAGGCATTGCCTCTTCACGGATCAAGTTAAGAAAACCCGTTCGACCATATGGCTAAGGAAAGATGGCAGTAAGTTCCTCCCTGTGACAAAAAATAAATAAGGTCAATTATATTTGTCCATCTTTTTTTTTTTTTTTTCAAATATCTTTCTTCCTTTATACGGTTAGGCATTACTAATTGAGTTTTCTTTTTTATATCTTCCCTGTAAGTATCTCCATGTTGTATATAACCGTACTACTTGCAAATATATGAGAAGGTTTCTTTGTTCTCCCTTTTTTACCGGGTGATGTGGCTAGTTACTGTTTACTGCATGTAAAGATTTGCTTACTGTGTAACGTAAATTATTTTTTTACCACAAGAATATTCTTGATTACTCGGGAGGGACGATGATGCTATTAGATAAATCAACTTATGATTGTCAACGTTATAAATCTTGTACTTTTAGGCCTAGTTTGGTGCGTATTGGATTGGATTAGATTATGTTGAAGGAAGAAATGGAAATCAACTTCCAATCGTATCCAAGTTGAAAGTAGAAGATGGATTAGTGAAGGAAACGTCTCACTTCAAATCCTACCAAGGTGGACGCGATAAGTTTTCTTCATGTCTAATTTATCTTCCACCTTTAGCTTGAACAAGGTTTCAAAGTCAACATCCATTTCTGGCATCAGTATACCTAGTATGCGGTGGCTTATCCAATGCAATCCAATAGAAACCACCAATGCGTTTGAGCTCTCATTGTACGGAGTTACGGGTTTGAGCTCATAAAAGCAAACCTTTAGTGCTTGCTTTTAACTTATAGATGTTACGTCCTTTAACCGAACCAAAGTGGTTCAAGAGCATCTACCCTTGTACTCGAGGTCCCCCGCCCCAATGGCGCGACATTGTTTACAAAACTTAAAAGTAAAAAAAATATGAATATAAAGACAAAGGATGCCACATTTAGCAGTCGACTCTTCAGCGACAAGTCATATGGTGCAACTGTTAAATCCAGGAATCAGTCATACAGGGCTAGAGCTTTGAGATTGTGCAACTTGAACCCTCCAGGTGAAATATTTCATGTACAATGAGTTGAGGCTCATCGCTAATCCGAAACCCAACACCGCAGCAAGCAATATCGCGTAAATGGCCATCAGATGAAGCTGAAAGAAAGAACAAAAACGATTTAGTTAATAAGGCGCAAATTGTGAAATAATCAAGCACACGTAATCTGGCATTAGGCAGTTTGGTGCACCGTAGAAAAAACCGTAGTAAGCAACAGAAAAACACACGCAGATCATGGAGCATATATTATGACAGGGTTTGGATAAAATCACGAATCGAAAGCATCACTCACTATGCTGTAGAACAGGTGGACGATGAGGGCGACAAGCGCAAACTCCAGAGCTGCATATGTCCATATATACTCCCTGATTGCTGCAATCAAACAAGCAAATGGTTAGAGTAAACTTACACAGAGAGAAGAGAACCATTAATCTCAGAGGCTCTGCTATACCAAGGATGATGGCAAAAGTGGATGCCAAGAGACCCAATGTAAATGCAAACGGTGCTGTAATTACAATCGCTCTAGTTTTCAAGTCACGAATCTACACATTGGAAAAGAGGTAGAATTAGCATCGTTACGCCAACTATCAGTCACAATTTGAACCAGTTCTGTCCCTTCTTTCAATGCGTTCTTTTTGGGACCCTGTATGTGCTCAGATAGTTTGTAGACCATACAAATGAACAGATAATATTTCATGGCACCTGGAGCCGCATAATTTAGGCGTTCTTACACAATGGTCTAATTACACACAATTAGATCGGATTATTTTCATTTTTATGATATCGAACTCATCAGGAGACACAAACAAGTTCTAGTTTAGCGGAAATCAAATTCTTAGTTCTAAAGTTTTTTTCACCAGAAGAATGGCATACCAGTAGCTGCTCAAGGAAGAAGAAATAGCATATTGTGCTAATCAAGACCATTACCACAAAGTCCTGCCAGGCACTGCATTAAATATGACTTTATTAGCCATAAAAGAGTAAAAAAGGAAGCATGATATCTATCATAAGTTGAATTCTACAAATAATGCACAGGTGTGACTTGATCAGAAAGAGAACCCTACAGTAGCACTGTCGCCTGCCAATGATGTGGCTATGATGGCTGAAATTTGTCTCTACAAGATAATAAAATATGATTTGGATATTACTTAGATCCTCTTCTGGCATTTAATGTTGGAGAATTCTAACTGGACATTCATGACTGAATCGAAATGGATGCTTCATGAAAAGGTTTCTACCTGTTTTTCTTTCCCTTTACTAGTTATGATATCATGAGTCTCCAAATAATACCCTCTATCAAAGTCATAATGGAAAAGATCTCAATACCGCAGTATCTCACCTTATCGTTTCTGGATGCAAACCCTGTTGGTTGTGCTGCTGTCCACTACCCCTTTGAGCAGTGCTCTGCACCCGAAGCAATGTTACAGGTAAATTCTGAACCTCTTGACCACAAACATCACATTTCTTGTTTCCTTTTGTGCTGAACCACTTAATGGCGCACTCTTCATGTAGAAGTCTAAGAGCACCTTTGCAAAGACATTCCATTTTGAGCGTATTTTGTTCATCACATACATCAAGACATATCCTGCACACTGCTTCTTCTTCAGGAATTTCTTCATCATTAGCCTCCACTGGAACTGGAGTTATTTGATCTGATTTGCCGAAAATAAAGTTAGAGGGGAGGGAGAGAGAGAGAGAGAGAGAGAGAGAGAGGAATACATATGCCAAAAGTAGTTGAAATATAGTGAGTAAATTCATTCATTGTTACAAGTATGTGAGTTGTATTTACAGCATGAACAAACCAGAATAATTGATTCACTACATACCATCACTAGGTTCTGCTTGAGTCTGCTCATTTCGAGTTGCAAAAGATACGGATCTTACAATGACTTTATTACGTCCAGGCATGGAAAGGGACCTCGAAACTGTTGTAGTTTCTTTCTGCACACAATTAATCACAACCATCTCTTTCAGTTGGATGACTTCCAGATTAACAAGCCATTTTTAGGGAAGCATTAATGAGGAAAAAATTAGAAGAAGCACAAAGATTCAGATTTAATTTTCTTTTTCATAGTACATACATAGTAGTTTAATGGAAAAATTGACCCGAATTATCATATTACACGGTTAAGAGGTAACTTGTGTCTAAACTGGAAACGTAAATCAGATTCCATTTTCGGGACAATGAATGCTCAGACATCATTCTTGGAAACAGCATTTTGGGGGCAAAAAAAAAAATCTACAATGTCTCTAGGTAAATCATCAATCATAATTTTTGTTTGGAAGATTATTATCTTTTGTTGCATTACCAGTTTTATACCTCCAAATGCAAAGAAGTTCATGTGAAATCTCAAAAACAAAGGAAACTGTAGAATGCATGACCACTTACATGTGGCTTGTGCACTTCATTATACATCCTCGCAGAGCTGGGTGTAGCTACAGAGGGGGACAAATTTGATATCGGTGTAAAAGGAAGAGAGGTACAACTTTCAGGAGCTCTACTGGGGTCCGAATTAAGGAGGGAGCTTCTCTCACCATCTGGTTGATTGCCTTTTTTCTTGAAGCTTAAACCCCGGAAAAGGCCCCCTGATAGCGAGCTGCCCTTAAAGGAACCTTGAGACTGCAGTAAACCCTTTCCACTACGGCTACTGCCAAAACCCACAGGCCTTCGGGGTATCTGAAGTGATATGTCTGGCCGCCTCCCAGTAGGTTCCAGGTCGGTAGCTTCTTCATTTACTGTCTTCAGATTTTGGAAATCAGCCTTCACAAAACAAAATATCTAATGCTAAATCTCATTTGGTCTACAACCTTTCAGAAGATTTCTTATATCAATTACCAAAATGAAAAGACACAAACTTTTCATACAAAAACAACCCGAATGGCTATAAAGATTTGGGATTTTCTAGTATACTCCGGGTTTTTTAACCGTTACTAAAAAACAGATCATATTTGGGAGCAACCTCTCCATAAATGGGGGTAAGGCTAGCCGACATTCACCTCTCCCAGACCCTGCGTAAAGCGGGAGCCTTGTGCACTGGGTACGACGACTAAAAAACAGATCATATCTGCAATAATCAGAAAAAGGTAACAGAAAAGCAGTTTGCAGTACACAATCAAGATCTGCAAAATACTAATAAAGGAGGGCAAAAGAGAATGTAACAGTTTGGGAGTAGTTTTAACTTGCAATGAAAAATAGCATTAAACCAGTGAAACCAGAAACTGGGCAGGGGGCACCCCTAAAGTTTCATGCTTAACTTGATCACGTAACATTAGTTCTCGTCTGAAATCCAACCACCAGAGACAAAAATAATCAAAAATCCAGGTTCCATTAGGAGTTTAAAGATTTTAAAAGAGTTTACAAATTCTTATGTATTCAATCAAGAATTTAGATGAATCCATGAAAGTCCACAGAATCTGAGTCTAATTTTGGATTTTAAAGCAGTTCATAAAACTCCATACGCATTCAATTAAGATTTGATTTTAAAGTATTTTAAAGGATGAAGATTTTAATGGATTTGGAGGGATTTTTATAGTGTTTCTAGGCTTTATAAAATCAGCCATCTCCCTTAAGACTCTACTCAAAATTCACATAAAGTCTATGGAACTCCATTAAACTCCATAGACTTATAACTCTTTTAATCTCAATTAAATACACCCCTAATAAAGCAAGCAACACAACAAATAAATCGTCCCAGCAAAAATCTTCTTTTTACCCAGTTGATTTCTTGAGCTAAAAATGATAAATCAAGTTCAAATCTTCCACTTTATCCACACAAAAAAGTTCAAATCTTGCGAGAGCAAAGCATAGGTTGCATCCAAAAAGTTGCAGAAACAGTAAATGCAAACATGGAAAACATACAAAAACAGTGAGAGATGGCGAAGTTGAGATATAAACCTGAGGAGAAGGAGGACGTTCTGCAGCTCCGTTGGAGACTGATTGAGCAGCTTGCATTGTTATTACTGAGGACCCCAAGAATTTCTTTCTTTTGGGAAGGAAAAAAAAGAACCCAGCAAATATAGAAGAGTGAGAGACTGAGAGACTGAAAGATTTATTAAGGAATTGGAGAATTGCAGTGGTTTTATTTTAAATTAATTTATTAGAATAATGGAAAATGCTATTTAATTGGTGAGAAAATACATGGAATTATCTGGGAGGACGATGGTCTGGTCAGGTCGCAGAGGAAGATGACGAGAAGTTTTGCAACTTTTGTCTGAAGGTGTGCAGAGGTTTTCGTCTCGTTGCACATCACTTACCCATTTGTTTCTCGAGAAGATTGAATGAGGATCCGGGGCTCTCGGGATCGTTTTTCGCAGATGTTTCAATCCCGTTCATTCATCGTATATCTTATCATTAGAAATTATTATAAATTTTTTTATTTAAAATTTAATATAAACAGTTATCTGGCTAAAATTAACCGCATAATGTATAATTAACGAACATGATTAGAAGATTCACATGATCCTCACAAAGAGGATCAGAAGTGGATCCTCATTCCTGATATTAAATTTTTAAAAATACATATATTTGTTTTTCACTTTTAATATCAAATTCACTTGTGAGCAACTACACATTCATTGACAACCAAGTGAGCAAAAAACATTAACGTATTACGTTAAAATTGAATACAATACCTCTATCTTCCAATAACGTATTACTGGAAGATTCACAGGTTCCTCACAAAAAAGATTAGAAGAGGATCCTCATTCTTGATATTAATTTAAAAAAATATATATATATATATATTTGTTTTTCATTTTTAATATCAAATTCACTTGTGAGCGACTAAGTGGGCAAAAAACATTAACGTATTACTAAAAATTGAATACAACACCTCTATCAATATCAAAAAAAAAATTTTAACAAACGATACTATCTACACTAAGAAATGAGATAATGAGCTAAACTTCACATTGAGTTAGCTATAATACTGTGGTTCAAAACATTAAGGGCCTGGTTAGGATTACTCCACGTATTGATCTGCTAGGGTTTCACCAAAAGTAAAATACCTCTAGACTAGAAACCTAGAAGGAAGAGAGCTAATGGACACGAAGCTTTTGACCAAGACAAAGCATGCCAGCGTTCGTACCTAAAATCTAACAATTTAACTTGCTAATATTAATATTTATAATAATAATAAAAAATTCCGTAAAAATCTTAAACTAATTATAATTAAAAATTACATTGTTATAATACATGCGATAACTAAATAGAAGATTACAAATTAAATTCTTTATCTAACATGTACTTTAAGATATCAGTATAATTACACAATTCTAGTAATTCTCAATAGAACATTAAGCTCAAGTTGGGAAAAGCAATTTGGAAGTAATTTTGTGTTGAACAAAAGACTTTTCAGTGTAATCGTTACACGAAATGGTATACCACGTGTCACTATATAAATGGTGGGATATATGTATTAAAAAGTAAATAATTTAAAAAATAAAATTTTTCACCATTTACATAAAAACACATGATGTATTATTCGTGTTTCCGTCGTAATGAAAAATTTTCCATGTTGAACACCCCTTTTTGTTTCACCAAGCGAGTGGATTTTGTGTGGTAATCGAGGAAAGCATGGGCCAAAGCAATCTATCTGTATTTCATGAGATGGGACGATGACAAGTAACCTACTTGTAGTTTTGTCGGGCCCATCTCATTCAATATTTGTGAGACTAGCTGTTTATATTGAATTTTGTAAATTATATGGCACAGTTGTTGATAATTTAATTATTAATTAAATATTAATTAACGTGCTAGATTTTTATTGATGATACATTATATAATTTATAAATTTAGTCTAAAAAATTAATGTACCTAGCATTACTTTTGAATATTAACCATCGACATCATCCAAATGTTGGTCCACCAAACACAAACTAAAAGAGAAGCACAAACGTCCACCGTCGGTTATTATGGCTGGTATCAGATTCTTTTTCCTTTCACAAAGGTATATAATAAGGTCATGCATAATTAAGCTCATGAGCCACGTATCATGAAATAAATAAATCAAACCACACGTTTGGTACGATCAGTTTGGGGTTGTTGTGCTATGAAAAAAAAAATGTTGTTTCTAGAAGTAAGGATACAGCTGCTTCTATTATTTGCTGTTTTGGATCCATGATTTTGACAAAAGCATTTTTTTTTTCATTTACTAAGCACAATTTAGCCCCAATTTTTTTTTAAAAAAAAACTGCTTTTAAATAATTTCAGCCCCAATTTTTTTTTTATTGCAAACGATATCACTACTTTAATTTATTTAAAAGAGGGAGAGAGTTTGAATGCTAAACACGGTGAGTTGAAGAAGAATATTCTCTATCTACCAAGGTAATCTAGAATTTAGGATTAGGAGGAATGTTATAAAGCTGTCACGAAAACTTTAGAGTATTCTTCTTTAATTTACTACGACACTCACAAGTAAGACTTTGATTTTCTGCTTATTTTATTTCTTTTAAAAAGTTGTGCAATTTTTAAGAGGTTTCAACTTTCAACACTAAATTGGAATTTTGAAGGCCCAAATAAACCAAAATAGAATGTCCCCTCTCCTATTGAAAGAGTATTTCTAAGGGCAGTTTGATAACAATTTCGCTTTTAATTTTTATTTTTTTAGTTTGTGGTTTTCAGTTTTTATGAAACTGAAAATTAAAAATTAAAAAAATGAAAACCCAAGGCCAAGTTTGAAAACTCAAAGAAGTAATTTTCAATTTTCAATTTACAAAAATAGTTACCAAACAAATTTGAATTTTCAATTAAAAAAAAAAGTAAAAATTAAATTGAAAATTAAAAACGAAATGTTTCCCACACGGGCAAAGGAAAATATTGGTGGGGGTTTAGTTTGACATAAAAACCTGGAGCCCAAAACCCAGGCCCATCTCTGAAGTTATCCAGTCCAAACTCGAAAAGACGGAGAAACTAGTTGCTCTCGCAGTCGGAGAGTCTCAGCTTCCCAGAGCTCCGTTTTCTGTTCAGACTTCAGCCATATAAATCTCGAGCTCTCGTTCTTACCTTGTAATTCTTTAAGCGAAAGCATGCCCTGATCATAATCTATATATATATATATATATATATATATATATGTATATACATACAGTTGCTGAAATTGAAGTTTTGATTTTTCTTTATGTGTAGTGGAAAATGAAGTTTCTGGATTGGTATTTGAAGATCGCATTCGGGTCGGCTCTGATTGGAGCTTCCATGGAATTTTTCATGATCAAGACCGGCTTCTGTGTGAGAACTCTCCATTTCATCATTACCCTTTTCTTTCTTTTGATTATGTACCTGTTGTTTCATTTTATGACATAATTAATGGAGCAATATTGCAATAATTGTTCGTAAATTGTTCCTGTAATTTTTTTGTTTTTTTTTTATAAATTAAGTTGTAGTTTGTGAAACCAAATATCAGAGTTGCAGTAGGGAAATTGTGAAAAGGGATTAGACAAAAATATCATTTGTTTTGGTTGAACTCAACTTAGATGAGGTTTCACATTCACATGGATTTTATTGAATTTAGAACCCTGTCAATTGGAATTTGTTTGCAAATGTAACCAATTACCAGTTGTGCTGGTTACTCCCAAATGGTTTCTGGGATTGAAAGATTTGGTGTTTGATCAACTAAATATTTCTTTTGATCTGTCTTGCTCCGCATTTGAGCCGTCATTGGGGTGCCCCTTGAGTTTGCCTATGGTTGGGCCATCTAAGTTGTTCCTTCGCTCCCATCGCCCTCTAACCTCGGCTCTCCACTACTCTTAGCATTTTTTTGTTTTCTGCAAAAAGCCTCCGCTCTGTATCGTCCCCTCTTTACAAGAGACTAGTTACCTTCGCATGTTAATACTGTTTCTAAAACTGCTCTTTTGCTTCATTGGAAATCTGCAATTAGTTAGCTTAATGGAGTTTCTCTTCTTATAACTGCTTCAGTTTTAGGGGATTTAGTTTGCTGATTTGCTGTGTGCTTTCTGTTTTTACTTGTGGTCGTCTTGTCCACTTTTTGTAATTTTATTGTCATTTCCGATAAAATTTGGTTTCGTTTTTCCACAAAATAGATTCCTTGTTCTGTTTGGTATAACCGAGTTGAATTGTTATGTACCACATTATCTGAAAGAGCGCCTGTTGCATTCTCTCTTATGACTATATTTTGTTCTTGCATAATGTAATTCTTAATTGCCCTCTTTTCATACATGCAGATGACAAAGTAACTGTTCTTGAATCAGAGAAACGGGCTTATGAAAATTCGCCAGAGGCCCAAGCTATCAGGGAAGCTCTCAATCCGTGGAGAAATCGTGATGCAGAAGCAAGCAAGGAATCCTAAGTTGGCTGGCTGCATGTTCACAAGGTTTGTTTGACCACATCATAGTTGGGATCTAGAGATCTGCACATTGCTATCCATTTACTTGGTAGAATTTACGACTTCAAGAACTGATATTTCCTTAGCCTTTATACAATTTGACATTCACAGTTGCTAGCAGACTCTAATTCACTTTCTTGTTTCTTTATTTCCTATTCCTTCGCAACTTCTGGCTGGGTCACGATTCTAAGCCATTTTTATCAGGGGTGTTATCTGCCTTGTTTTGTTTCAAATATCCATTAGAGTTACATAACACAGATATTATTTATGAACTCAGTCATTTCTTTCCGTGATCGATTGATTTTGACTAATATATGTGTTTACAAAATTTTAATGATAGCTGATAGTATTACATTCAGTTAATTGACTCAGCTTGAACTAAGCGTTGAAAGTATCTTGTAACTGAATATATTCATTATCATGGTACAACATCTGATTTACGAGAATGTTGACTCTCAAACTGCACCTATGGTTTACTTGCTAGTTAAACGTTGTAACTGCCGAAGATTTTTTGTAAACAAGTTCAGTTTATTAAAAACTAAACAGTTTTTTGTGTGGCTCTGCAGGAAGAAGATAACAGTATTAGCAGGACATCAATCTGGGAAATATTGTGAAAGATGACATTGTTTCTTCTAGTTGAACAACGTGAGAGGCGACCGTGGTCATCCCGAAAATTATTTCATTCCTCTTATTTATGTAGCTTATCGTTCTTGTCCTGGGGAACAAGATCAACAGTTTTTAAAGTATGTATGTAGCCATTTTGGTTGGTTCTTCTAGTACGCATCTATAGTTACGAATGAATACGCTTGAGAAAAATTCATGTCACTCTTGCCTCAGTCTCTTCGCTCTTTAGCCATTTTGGTTGTATCATACCAGTCTGTCCTTCTCCTCGCATGACTTAATTCCGAGGCATTGAATTAGAGAAGCGAGTGGCTAAAATTGTCCAACATTCTCTAATCCGTGCTCTTGCTAATTAACCACAAAATCAAAATTTAAAGCCACACCCTTTGGGGTCAAGGGATTTGACTCCACACATGATCTCTTGAGGATGCGAGCAACAGCACATCCTCAGCTAAAAATAATAATTTCAAAAATCACAAATTTGAAACACAATACTTGTCGGTAAAACCCCTATTAAAGGTTGGTGAAAAGGGTTAGTTCAAGATTTCAAGTATCCTTGCTTTGCTAGTGCGCTTTCAATAATTACAGTATTACTTTTGTGCTAATGAAGATTAGCATTTTTGGAATCGGTTCTAATCACAAAATGAACCATCAAACTTTCGGATTATCAAACCCACTTTAGAATGATAATCAAGTACACGAGTGCTTCATTCCCTTCCTCTATTAGTGCTTTTATTCGTGTTGGTTAACCAATTTGAGACTTTATACTGGTGTTACCCTAGTAGTGGATCGTACTTGCACTGGCAAGACAGATCAACTCATTACTAATCAACACCGATATTTTTCTCGACTTGCATATTACCATTGCCACAACATGCATGAGGTTCTAGCACAAAAGGCATCAATATAATTAGTTACTAAAGATGTTGTAGCTTATCATGTAAGAATATGATCATGATTATAATTCCTAAGGCCTGCTATTTGTTTCAGATCCGTATAGAAAAGTCCCAATGTAAAAAGGTATACTTAATCCTTATTTGTGAAGGATTGAATGAAAGTATGAAAACTGGTTTTAACACTTTGTATACAATAAGGTAAACTTATTCAGTGTTGAATAAGGATTCTAATAGGAGAATTACATGGATTGATTGTGTATAAATAGTAGCCTCTGCTCTCACAAAACATACGCTCATTATTGAACTAAGGCCTATTGTTAGTTTGAGTATTATTGGTTTTGACAGAGATGAGAAGGTCTACTACTTGTTTGATCATGGCTTCATCTATGACTGCTGCAGGTTGGTTTATATTTCATACTTGTAGTATATTAATTGTTTTGGTTATAAAATAAAAGGGGCTCCTAAAGGTTTTGAACCCCGGAGCTGTCTTTATAAAACAAAGCTAATGTTTGTTTGGTAAAATAAAGTTGTCGTCGTTTCGAATTTGGGGTTCAGAAAAACTGGGTTTTCTGATCGAATTGGGGTTCATAAAGAGCAGTCAATCTAGATTACAAATAATTCATTACTTCCGCTGCACTACTTCGTTTTCAATTTGGATACTTACTGGTATGTGTTTCGTTTTCATTTTCGTCTAATTCAATATTTGCTGATTCATGAGAAAGTGAAAATTTTTCGTTTACTGCACTTCTCTATGATTTTGAATCTGAGTGCCTTATTCTAATTGATACTATATGAGATTCAGAAGCAATAAAAACTCAACAGACTTGTATGAATTGGATTTAAAATGCATATATGTTAATTATGATCCCCATGTTATCGTGTGATTCCTTAATTTTCCCAGAAGTTGAGATCTTAATTATCTATTTTTAATTAAGATGACTAAAATCATTGCATCCAGACATCTCCAATAATTGATTGGTTTTGCTTGATGGGTCAAAGAAAAAAAAAAACAGTTTTTGAATTGTCTGATCTATGTGTATCCCTTATCATTGAGACTACATATATGGTCAAATTGGTTCAAATTTTGTTCTGTAAAGTTTAACTAGCAGTGGAGAAATCAGGAACCTATTGGTTCATGTTTACTGATTTCATTCTGATCTGCTGCAGTTTCACTGAAAACCTTGAATCTGGCAAGTGTTCCAATTCTCACTGGTGGAAGTAATTTCAGGAAGTGGAGACGCGAGATCAAGTTGCTACTGACACTCAATGAATTTGACATTGCAATTGACAATCCACAACCCCCATTATTGACTGACAAAAGTTCCAAGGCTGAGAAAGCAGAGCACGAAAGGTGGTGGAGATCAAATAAATTGACACTATCCATTTTGGAGGCTAGCATGACTAATCATGTTAAAGGAGGTATCAAACAACATGATCTTGCTGTTGATTACTTCAAGGCTATTGAAGAGAAGTTCCAGGAACCTCAGAAGGCTGAAATTAGACACTACATGGCACTCTTGACAACTTACAAGTGTGAGGGCAATGGCTCAATTAGGGATCATATTCTGCAACTCTTAGATGCTGCCGAGAAACTCAACTCAATGGATGTACATATTTCAGAGACTCAACTGGTTTTTATGGTGCTTCAAGCACTCCCTGCTAAATATTGTCAACTGAAAGTTGATGTGTAAATTAACTTGACACACAAATTAAACCCTATGGATGACAATTGTAGTATATGAGCAAATAGGGATCGTTCTAAACCGGGGATTAACTAGGGATGCTAATCAATGTGAAACTGACTCAAGAACATAAAAACATAATGTAGAACACTAAACTAGACTCAATTAATGCAAAACTAGGGTTTTAAAACACCTAAACAAACTAAAAACTCAAAACAGCAACTAAAAGGCTCAAAACTGCCTTAAAACCACTTTCTGGGCAGTTTTGAGTACCTAACACTAGTTTGGACGAATTTGGACTATGACTTGACTCAAAACACTTAAAAACACAACTAAATGGATTTCTAACTAATCTAACACTTTAAAATAAATGGGGGAATGATTTTGACGAAATTAAAACTTTAAAACTTAAACTTTGAAAACAAACTTAAAGCAAAACAGATTGTGATGAAATAGAATGATGAGAAACTAGTTAGAGGGTTCCTTATCCGCACATGAACATATGCATACAACTCGATCTCCAATTACTCTTTCAACAAACCATGAATGACAATGCCCCAAATTAACTAGATTGCACCAATTAATTCTCAGATTTCCCTAGATTCATTGAATTGAATGGAATACGCATTACAACCAAATTATTCTTATCAAGGACCCTAACTATGGAATACGCATGATAGAGACACATATCAAAGATCATTAAGTTCAATGGAAATCATAAGCATTGACGAGGCATTCATAACTATGGGATACGCATACGCATGTTACTCTTGCGTAGGATTTACTTAACGCAATCGTGACTAGCGACTTTTACTACTTATGAATATAAGTTAATAACGATTAGGTGAAATTCCCTTATACTCTAGCATCAAGTTTAGGCATGCAAATTAAGTGTCGACCCTCAACCCACATACATAAACAAGTTATCAATCAAATAGATAAGTAAACCACATTCACGATTTATGAAATCATAATTGGAAGAAATCAAGTCATATAAAAACATATGATCATGGCTTCAAATTCGCCTCTAACTAAAAAGAAATTAGTTCCACATGTCTAACATAATTGAAAAGCAATTTAAATTAAACATGAAAACAGAAACAAGAGAAGAAAAAACTCTTAAAACTCCCAAAGATGCAGATGGCTTGCGCACAAGGCCCTCATTCATCAACGAAATGCACGACAAGGCTCTCCTTCTTCTCCAAAAGGTGCGGCAGAGATGTATATGGATGTAGGATGGGGTTTTGTGATGTAGAATGGTGATTAGGGTTGCGGCAAGGTATGTTTGAATGGTGTGAAGGGGTGGTGACGAATTTAGGCTTAAAACACATATATATAGGCACCACAAACCCTAAAGAAATCAGGTTGGACAATGGGCTAGGGTTTAGGTGCGGCTAGGGTTAGAGATGTGCCTTCTACAATGCCTTGCAAGGCAAGGAAATAGGTGTTCTAGAAGGCTAGGTGCGGCTGATTAGTGGGCTAGGGTTAGGGTTTGTAGATAGGGCTTCTAGAAAGCCCAAAACCAAGAATAGAAACTCTCGAAAATGGAAACCTCTAAGAATAGAAACTTCCAACTTTAGAAACTTTGGTTGCCAATTCCGACTTCTTTGTTCTTCACTTTCATTTCTTCATTTCTTAAGCTCCTTTGACCTTCAAACTCGTCCATTCCTTGTGCTCCATAAGCATACACTCCATTCCAGCTCAATTTTGCTCTCAAATGCTCCAAATTGCATCATTTTATGTAATATGCTCTTAAAACCTGAAAACACATGAAACTAACTTAAAAGACTACTTTAAACTAAGAAAACATAACTAAAATGCATAAGAACTAGCTAACTAAGGCGCATAAATATGCTCCTATCAAAAGTCTCATATAACACTCAAGGGAATCTTTGGACACTTGATGAGCTCATTGCTCAATGTGTCCAAGAAGAGAAAGATAAAGCAAGACAAGGGCAAGGAAATTGAAGCAGTAAACCTTGTACATGCATCCAAAGGAAAGAGCAAGAAGGGTGGCGGATTTAATCCAAGTAAGAACTCTAAATCTTATGATAATGTCTCTAAATCTGGTATGCCTGCTAAATATGCTCAATCCTCTATGAAATATGACAATCTTAAAGTTAAAATTAAAGATATAACTAAGCTTAAATGTTTCTTTTGCAAAACCAAAGGTCATATTAGAAAAGATTGTGAAGCTTTTAAGGATTGGCTGAGGAGTAAGGGTAATACTGATGTCTATGTATGTGAGGAGTCTAACTTGGTTGAAATTCCTGCTAAATCTTGGTGGTTTGATACTGGAGCATTAGTTCATGTCACAAATACATTGCATGGTTTTGAAAAACAAAAACAAACAAATAAAATGAATTATAGTGTTTTTGTTGGGGAAGGGACTAAGGTTGCTGTAGAAGCTATAGGGAAAGTGAAACTAAAATTATCTTCTGGTTTTATACTTGAACTAAATGATGTACTTTTTGTGCCTACAATGAGAAGGAACCTAGTTTCTGCATCAAAACTAACTAAACAGAATTTGGTTTTTCTTGGGGATGATGAGGGCATAAAGTTTTTTCAAAAGAATAATTTGGACTCAGTTTTGGGAAAAGCTTATTTACGTGAAAACCTTTGGCAATTGGATTGTTCTCTTGAAAAGGATTATGTGCATGTTTTAAATGTAAACACCAAAAGGATGCATGATTTTGAAAATTCTTACATTTTGTGGCACAAAAGGTTGGGACACATTTCGAAAGAGAGAATCTTACAATTATCTAAATCCAATTTGATTCCCTCATTTGATTTTCAAACCAAAAGTGAATGTGTTGATTGTTTGAAAGGGAAATTGACTAATACTAGAAAATTAGAAGCTGGGAGGAGTCAAAATCTGCTTGAAATCATACACACTGATGTATGTGGTCCTTTTCCAGTTAAAACTATATGTGGAAACAACTATTTTGTGAATTTTATTGATGACTTCTCAAGATTCAGTTTTACTTATCTCATTAGTGAAAAATCAGCCGTCCTTAGTTGCTTCATAATTTTTAAAACTGAGGTTGAGAGACAATTAAATAGAACTATCAAAATTGTTAGATCGGATAGGGGAGGAGAGTATTTTGGCAAGTATACTAAGGCAGGTCAACAGAAAGGACCTTTTGCTCTTTATCTGGAGAAACATGGCATTGTGGCACAATATACGACACCTGGAACGCTACAACAGAATGGAGTATCAGAAAGGAGGAACAGAACTTTGATTGGGATGGTGAGAAGCATGGTGTCTAGAGCTAAACTTCCAGCATTCTTATGGGGAGAAGCACTCAAAACAGCAACTTATATACTCAACATGGTGCCAACCAAAGCTGTTTCACAAATCCCTTTTGAAATTTGGACTGGAAGAAAACCAAATTTTGATTACTTTCATGTTTGGGGCTGCAAGGCTGAAGCAAGGTTCTATAATCCACATGAGAAGAAATTAGATGCAAGAACTCAGTCTTGCTATTTTGTTGGCTACTGCGAAAAGTCCAAAGGGTTCAAGTTTTATGATCCACAAGCTTATTCAAGAATTCAAGAGTCACACAATGCTGTTTTTCTAGAAGACCAAGATGTGGCAGATCTGAATCAAGAAGAATTTAATTTTGAGGAACAAATCTCAGATGAATATGTCTCTCCTGCAGAAAATTACAAGATTCTTCCCATATTCCCGCAACAGATTAGTCCAAATGAAGAAAAAGATCATCAAATGGTAGATTGTGGACTTGAAACAGAAACTACATCTGAACAGACTCAGCTGGAAGATCATGTTGTGCAAACACAACAGCAAGTTGACAGTTCAGAAGCACCTCAAGCTGAACCAGAATTAAGAAAATCGACAAGAACAAAGAAGTCAGCCATATCAAATGATTATGTATATTTGCAAGAATCTGAGTATGACATAGGTGATATTGATGATCCCATCACCTACAATCAAGCTATAGAGAGCTCCCAATCAATCTTATGGATCAATGCAATGAAGGAGGAATTGGAATCGATGAACAAAAACAAAGTCTGGACATTGGTCGAATCTGATTCCAAAATCAAGCCTATAGGTTGTAAGTGGGTTTATAAAACCAAAAGAGACTCTCAAGGTAGAATTGAAAGATACAAAGCTCGATTAGTTGCAAAAGGGTTCACTCAAAGAGAAGGTATTAACTACAACGATACTTTTTCACCTGTTTCATCAAAAGATTCCATGAGGGTCATAATGGCTTTGACTGCACATTTCGATTTAGAGCTGCATCAGATGGATGTCAAGACGGCTTTCCTTAATGGAGAGCTACAAGAAGATATATATGAGGCAGCCGATTGGATTTGTTGAAAGGGGGAAGGAAGATATGGTTTGTAAATTAAATAAGTCAATTTATGGTCTCAAACAAGCTTCAAGGCAATGGTATCTCAAATTTGATCAAGTAGTTACAGCTCATGGTTTCACTGAAAATAAGTTAGACGATTGCATCTATATCAAGTTCAGTGGATCAAATTTCATTATAATGATGCTATATGTCGATGACATACTACTGGCTAGTTCTAGTTCTCAATTACTGCAGAACACTAAGTCCATGCTTAGTGTTAATTTTGAAATGAAGGACCTTGGAGAAGCACATTATGTTCTTGGAATAGAGATTGTGAGAAACAGAAGACGAAGACTCTTGGGTTTATCTCAAAAGGGCTATATTGATAGAGTGCTAACTCAGTTCAACATGGAGCATTGCAAAGGAGGCCACGTTCCTGTCAATAAAGGTGACATATTCACCAGAGCACAATGTCCCAAGAGTAAAATAGAAGAGGAAAAGATGAGAGACAAACCTTATGCCTCTTTGGTGGGTAGTTTGATGTATGCAAATGTTTGTACGAGACCTGATATTGCCTTCATTGTTGGCATATTGGGTAGGTTTTAATCAAATCCAGGTGAAGCTCATTGGATTGCGGCAAAGAAGGTATTAAGATATCTGCAACGGACCAAGTTGTTCATGCTCGCATATGGC